AAAGCGTCCAAAGGGACATGCTGCCACTTTTCGGCCCAGGCTTTTTGCCAATAAGGTAGTCCCATAAATCACTCAGAACCCATCACCCCACTAGAAAGGACCACCCTGTCTTTGCATGTTACCAAGTTTTTTCTCTGTGCAAACAAGAGTTAAAAAAGGGAACAGGGAATAAAGGTGACCTCGGATTAAACCCGTCCGATTGACAAGGGGGTGTTCCCCTCTAAAGTGATTAATCCCCACTAAAAGGACCCCCATATTCACCACCAGAAATTTAGTAATCCGAGGTTCCCATTCGGAAGGATCCAGAACCTCAAGCAGGAAGGGAAACTACTGTAAGTTCAGACTGGCCATCACCGTTGCCGCGCGAGCGCCTGCCGCGCTTTCTGTATGTTGACGCCCAATGCGGTCGCTGAGGCTGCGAGCGGCGCGGACACACCAGGCCTTGGCCAACCCTCTGGGCGCAGCAATTCCTTCCCGAGGGATCTCTTCGAAGAATTTAGGCGTCAGGATTTTTTCCCTTTTTTCCTCATGGTGATGCCTGTCAAGATAACCATGCTGGGGAGGTGTGGTTTGCCTCTTGGTGGGGAACTAGCTCATTTCAGGGAGATCCTTCGGCTTCTCCAGATCAATTCGAAGCTGATATCAGGATGTCAGCTTTTTCGTACAATCAACCAAAAACACGATCTCCAGGGGAAAGTCGCCGATACTTCTGGGGGAAACCGATGTAGCGTATCTAGAACTAAAGGGGCTGCCTTCTGGAGCACCCAGGTTAGGTGCCCGCAGCGCCTTTGGGGTCCCAAAAGGGTCTGGCAAAAAATATGGTTAAAGGGGCCCAGAAGCTGAAGTAGTTGCCCAAAGTACCCTCAAAGCAACCAACGATTGCCTGAATCAAGAGGCTGACCTACAGACTAAACACACCGAAACGAAGCTTATTGAACACAGCCAACAAACCGAAGGAAAGAATCGTGGAAACTCAGCCCCGAGCGATTGCTTCGGCCGGGAATGGATCCGTGAAGGTGCCGCTTGCGGCGCCTTCACCGGTGCGAATCCTTGCACGGCAACGGGAGAATCCAGGGGACCTGTTTCCCTGGTGCTCGTCCCCACAAGTCGCGAACCTTTTGCAGATAAAAAAAGAAAGCGAGGAAAAACACCAACCAAATAGCAGCCATGTTTTCGCTGGCTGGTCCTTAGGGAGTCTTGGGTTTTGGAAAGCCGGAAGGGGAGTTCTTGGAAAACCACAAGGGCTGGCTGAACGGGATCATCTCAATTCCCTGCTGACCTTTTTCTTCCCCGTCCGATCCTTCCTTGCAGAAAACCGAAGACCCGTGCAAATGGCCGGCCGCTGTTTGCAAATAACGGTGATTGAACATAGTGGAACATCAACCCCCAGCATTCGCAAACATATACAAGATCTAGTCCTTTTGTAGGAGCTTTGTTTCATGCCATCAACACTTTCTTGAAACCAAGGGCTCAACTCAAAGGAGCGAGCCCCTGCTGAGCTGGCCAGAAGGACTCGGCAGAAATGACGAAGACACATAGTAAAAATTCACAGTGCGCGAAGTCATGCAGGTTCAAGGGACGCCTAAGGAAGGTTGCTTCAGCAATACTGTCAACTTCAGATTTATCCGGTGAACCACGCTAATCAGGAGTGGTTCCTGCTTGAGGGGATTCATTCCTTCGATCTCTGACAGTGACCTCAGAATTACCCTTGAAATGGGCAAGTTGATCCCCATCTTGACTTTTGGTTGGGTCGTGGGCCTTGTCCTCCGGTTCGATACTTCGCCCTTAGTATATGCACAAACCTTTTTTTTTGGTTGGATTTCCATGAAGGGAGCTTCTTTTTGGATTGACCTAAAAGCTCCCTTTTAAAAGGTAAAACTCCCTCCATTTTCTACGTAGATGACTTTGAAGAGGATCCCCTCCCCCCGCAAAGAAAAACACAACAACAACAACACAAAAAGAACAAACAGAACAAACAGAAAGAACAAGAAAAGAACGAAGGCACCCTCCGCCAGACTCGCGCCCTAGAGTCCCCCTGCCTGTGAGCGGGATGGGGCTGGGGGCTTCCATGGCGAAGCTTCAAGCCGGCTCGGCGCGGATCGGCGATTCAAGGCGGGAAGGAGTTGAAGGGGGCGGAGGTCGGAACCTGAAGGAGTTACATCGCCTTCCCCTGGTTGAGAGCTATGGAAACCGCCTCTTTTGGCAGCTGGTATGTTCGGGTATGTTGCCAAACCCCGCGCTTTCGCCTTCAGCCCAGGTTGACCCCAGGGATTCGACGCAACTGATCAACGAGCACGGGACCACTGTTTGGGCCCCGTTACTGGGTGCATTCAGGTGACATGCTCCAACTACTCTCTCAATAGTTCAAGGGACACAACACCCGAAAGCAATTTTGCGAACCTCAAAAAGCTGCATTTCAGCGCACCCAGTTTTGGTTTATGATCATGTTGATACCGGGCTTTGATTTTGACCCACATGGGTGTTTCTCAAGGCACTCGGTTTGTTCAGGTTACTTCTGGGCTTCCTTTCTGTGGGCCATGTGGCACCTTGAAACAGACTGACCGATGAACCGAGGTCTTCGAAACAAGCAGCCCTTGAAAGGCGAGTCGTCGAATACGAGGAGGGCGTCAGAGCGGGTTTCCAGACCCCTCGATCTTCCCCCAAGGGTCAAACTATCACGGCTTGGCCCTAGCAGATTGGATTGTGCCCCAAGAATCTATTTGTGGCTGGGATTGTCCCTGACTAACCTTCATCTACCCGGGTTTGGATCGTGGTTCATGTAATGTGGCATTGAGCAATCGCCAGACCAAACATTGTTTGGGAGGGATGGGGGGAAAAGTGCCAAGTGCGTATGAAACGCCTTGCTCTGGAGGAACCGTTAGGGGCGTCCGATTCTTCAATGACTCCGGATCACTTTGCTTGGAAGCTCGCTGTTCTTTCTGTGGGCGCGTCATTTTTTGAGGACGCCCCTGGATCAACAGGAGGGGCCTTGATTTGAGACAAACCCAGCCATCGACGTTCACCGGGTTCCCAGGAATTGGAACCTTGTTCGGCGTTTTCATTGTCCCAATGGAAGTTCATCTTGTTCCCTGCAGGTAGTTTTCCTCTTCCCCATGAAAAGTTCAGGGGTCCCTTCAGAAGTTGAGCAACGTGCCCGAAAGGGAAGTGGCTCGGAAACCCTGAAAAACACCAAGCGGGTCGCCCCAAAGGTGCCACCAGGCAAGTCTTGGAGTGCGCGGAGAATCGGATTGTTTTTCTCCGCCGGGCGAAGAAGGCTTCGATGGCTCGAGGGAGAGGGCACCGTGGAGCGCGTGCGTCTGGCAGGCACTTCCCAGACCAAGCGTTCCAGCATCCAGGCCAAGGAAGTGACCTCACGGAACAGCTGCAAAGCGGACTTCCTCAGAAGTGTGGTCCGGATCGGCAGAAGCAGACGATTGAACAAAAAGGTGCCGTTTTCTTCGACTCCTTTGTGACCCCTGAAAATCGGACAATGAGGGCTTCCGTCACAATTTAAAGCCTTGCATGCCAAAACATAGTCTGCGAGACAGGACATGCCCCAAATGCGGTAAAGCCCTATGCAAGCTCTATGCCTCCAAAGCCCGTGCCTGAACAAAGTTGAAGGCTCAGAAAAGTGCGGTTGGAGACTAAACCGCTCAAAACTACCAGCGGGTGTTGGACCCAGAATTCGACTTGGGACTGAGATAAGAGGAGGTACCTGAGTATTGAGATGAACACTGCAGCAGTGATCAAGGGGAGCACCCTAATTTCAAGCAAACAACTGCATAAAGGCTGCTCTGGAAAGCAGTTTGGGTCAAATGCTAAGCAAATTCACAAGCGGAACCACATCTAATGTTGACATCGGATAAATTCAACCTGGTGGATAGGAGGTCTTTCTCCCCTCAATGTGAAGGAGCAACTTTCAAAAATGGACATGCCCCCCAATGAATCAACCAAGAGATCATGAGCCAATCAACCTGCAGCAAAACACACTTCCCAAAGGATCCGAGGCTGGCGCCAAGCTGATCAAGTCGTCAGGATCCAATTCCGTGGCATGGCGCCTCTCTCGATGCAATTTCACCAATGTCTTTCACCGAGGGGTCCCCTTCGCATTTCAGGAATGATTTGGAGCGGCCAATTTTTGGCATTGAGAAGTGGGTTGGCGAACAACTTTGCAACATGGGCGTGTCTGCGGGAGAAACATCTCTAGATAATGGAGGGTTTCGCGGGATGAAAGTTGTCCTCCAGCTCGATGGACCTTCCAATTGTCATGTAGTAGTGCGCGTTTCAGGCCCAACCCAGTAAAACGGCATTCCTTCAAATTGGCACCTACAAAATGACAGGGTTTAGTTTAGGATAACATTCTGCCCAAAACCTCAACACGACCCAAAGCGGGCGCCACCCACTTGCTTTTGCAGGCAGGATGGAGTCCCTCTTTGTTTGCTGGCGGGTTGAGCCTTGATTCAGATGTGAGCCGAAGCGTCCAGACGAACCTGCTTTCGTCTAAAATCCGGATTGCGCACCCCAAGCTGAGACGCCAAATCAGCGGTTGGCAATGCGTCATACAACGTTGTACAGGGGCCCTAGCCAAAAACCATGTATGTGACTTCTCCATCCCCTGTTGGCTTCCTTGAAGGAAACTGCACAACGATCGCCACTTGGAAACACCAGCCAGCTCAGCCAGCGACCTGACAAACTGAATGGCTCCAATAGTCCGAGCAACGGGCCATGTTTCTTAGTGGTGCACTGGTGGGGTTGCCTTGGATGTTGTCAGTGGATTTAATGGGGCTAAAGGAGTGCGACCTTGACAAAAACAAAGGCTGGGGGCATTCAAACCAAATCGTGTCCCATTCAAGTGCTTTCCAAGTTAGGCCCCCTATAGCTTTCAGCTCCCTGAAGGAAAGCACGATGCCCTGGGTTGCAACCTGGGCATCCGCCTTGCGTCAAGCAGGGCGCCTGGAAAAGTCCAGCAGTGGAGGTCCCATTTCGCGCAGCTTCAAGCCTCAGCCCCGGGTTTCCTGCCCCAAGTCTACCCAAAACCAAGTGCACCAGTCGGACATGTCCACACTGCTTGGCAGTCCAGGTCCAGGTTGTCAGAATCCAGAAAAGGTGCTACATAGGCTTGGGTAAAATATAGCAAACAAATAAACTTTTGCTTTGGTTTCTTGGAGGGACTGCAATACATGGTGCACCTAACCATGGAAGTCCTGGGTTTGGGCATGAGCATACGGTCCACTTCTGACGCTTCTCCTTTTTGTGGGGCCAATGGCAAATCCACTGTTTCCAAAAGGGAAAGTCCCAAGATCCGTTTCCAAATCGCCAAGATCTTGGTTGCTGTTGACCCCCCTGCAAAAAGTTCAATTCACTTTTTGAGGGGTTTAGTGGAAAACCCAACTTGATTTCAACCAAAAAGTTGAACCCCAATAGCAGGCAAGAGATATAGACCACTGGCGCCCAGGCCGAGTAACAGGACTGGCTCGCGAGCGCCCACACCAGGCGCGACATCTCCCGAGCCCGGAAGTGGTGTGCGTGGTGGGCGGCTTCGGTGGCCAGCACCCGAAGGGCTGGGCGGCAAACGTAGTCCTTGCACTCCTCAAGCGAGAAATATATACATAGTATGGGATTTTGCTGGATATGAGGCAACCTAGATTCAATGAATTTGCAGGATTCTTCCCAAGTAGACACGAAAAAACAACACTACCTGAGCTTCTGCACCAACACAAAAACAATTTCAGAATCCCCACCTTGACTAGGAAAGCGTCGGGGCCCTCAGTGCATGAATTCCTGAACCGCCTACGGAGGGCGAATGGGGAGGGTCTCTTTATTGCGGGGACGTCACCTTTCAAAGACAGGGAAGAACGAAGGCTGGCATGTTAGTCAATACGCCCCTTCACCAGCCTGTAAACAAATTCTCTTTGTGGGTACTCCCCCCCCGAGCTTGTTAGCAAAGAACTTGGAAAGGGCGAGTCTAAACAGACGGCAAAGCATGCGCCAGGCCAAAGTGTAACGACAGCCGGGGGGAAACCAATCCAGACAGAGTGGGAGACAACGCGGAGGGGGGATTTCCTGGCGACTGCCAGGATTTCATCGTGTTTTGCCAAGCCCGGCCCGGTCCCATCCTGGGGTAAGCCGTTGAGGCGGCAATGGCGTTGCCACCTGCCAAGGGCGTACCCTGCCCGCGTTGCTATGAATCCTGACTGCTTCCTGGCACTTCTGGCGGGTTCCACGTTAGTCGGTGAGAGGGTGCCCCTCTAGGGCTGCTATTGGAAGCGGAAGGGGATAGATCTTAAGTTTGGGCGGCGCGCCTTGGGCCTCTTCGGACGGGAAAGGGAGAACATCACAAATTCGGAGGGCACGCCTTTGTTGGGGCTAACCACACATAGAAACTGAAGGCAAAACGGCTCCCTTCCGGAATTCCAGCTCCCGTCCCATTCCGCACCTGGCCAGCGCCCACGCAGCGTTCATCAAATGCTGCGGCTCAAAGTCCTGCATCGCTATCCCCCCTCTCAACTCAGCTCCCGCTGCCCGCCATAGAGCTTGTCCCACTTTGCGGGCAGTGGAAACCCTCTTAGATCAAATGCTGAATTCATATGGGCGCACATTTGACCCGGCAAAAGGGGATGGTTACGACCTAAGCTTCCCAACCTCCGACCTCCAGTGAGGAAACAGGGCACCCAGATCTGGTCTCTCTTGGTAGGTCTTCAGCCCCACTAAGCCTGAGATTCAATCCCTTTCGTTGTTCACTTTAGCCAAAGGCAATGAACCGTCGTTAGATCCGAACCCAACGTTCGCAACGTTGACCCAGACAATTCGGAACAGAGATGCCCTGCAATTCTGGGCTCGGCGCCTTGGCCCCGTGGTTCCGTATCTCCCGCGCGGCGTGCTGCAGCATGCGCTTCACCGCAAGGGCAGAGGAGCCCTCGGGGTGCGACGCAACCGAAAACGCCATGGGCCAACAACCAAGCGGTTTTAAACATCTTCTTTGAAACATGGACATCATCCGTTGAAAGCCGCCTTGGATCACATGTTCAAAGACATGTTGCATATGTTGTTATACAAAACATCAAAACACGAGGCAACCTCCGTTTGGTCCCTTTTCGGGCGGGGGGGGGGGGGGCCGGGTGCAGCTAGCCCTGCCCGGAAGTCGCGGATGCCCAAAGAGTAGGCGGCCCACATGGCGATGGAGAGCTCCTGAACGCTCGGATGGGGCGGGTTTTCTCCTCGAATTCATCCAGGGGCGCCTAATCAAAGGACCCGGCCTAAAACGGTTTTAACATTTCCGCGCTCAAAGGAAAATACCTGAAGGCCCCAAATAGGGGCGCCAAGTTGAAAGGGACGTGGGTGCCACTGAGCAACAGGGGTCTCCTTCAAATCCAACTGGGCAATTCCAGGAGCTCTATTTGCTCAATGGCTTTTGCGGGTGGTTCAGGCCAGGGCAATCCTAATGCATAATCCAGGCGTAAGCCAGGGAGCCCCGAGGTTTTTCATAGGCGTATGTTTGTTCTGTCCAATGTGGCTACCCGCTTCAGTCGTCCGAACGTATCACCGCTTCGAAAACTGGCCCTTGGCCTCACTAAGCCATACGGCTATAGTTGAGTAGTTGAGCCATGGGACCTTCCAGGCGGACCTCCCCGCCCCACGTGTCACCGAAAAAAAAGCTCCGGCGCCTGGGGCCGGAACTTGTCCCAGTTCAGCTCCGCCGCCCGTGCCGCCACCACGTCCAGCGGCGCGATCTGGCGGTCCAAGCGCAGCACGGCGAAGGCCCAGAGGAAGTTGGCCAGGTCTTGGGGCAGCCTAGCGACCCAACCACAGCCTATGGCCCACGCCAAAGGAAGCGAGCTCACGAGAAATTGAAAAAAGGTGGTGTTTTTACACCATCCAAAATGGTGGTTTTTCGAGTATGGGAGAGAAAGGGATCACCTTGGACACCGTTCCCCCAACACGTTGCCAGTCACCAAAATTTGTTTAGTGGCGTATCCAACACGTCATCCACTGGTGTGGGCAGAGTCCAACTGCATGCAAACTCCCTCTTTCTTAACTCTCCCCCCCCCCCCCCACATTCCTAGATATGGCCTTGCTACTTTGCAGGATTGCTCCAACTTCCGCGCAACACACACACACACAAGCACCTCTAGTTTCGGTCTATTTTAGGCTTCCCTTACAAAGGAAGCCGCCGATTGAAAGGCTCTGAACGGCTAGCTGGCCAGAAAGAGTGATTAAACGAGTTGGGCGCTGCCAACAAACAAATCCAGTTCGCCAACTCAACAGGCACGAGATGGCTACACACGTTCTATACGAATCGTCTAATCCCCACTTGACTGGGCTGCTCTTCCGCCCTGAGCAGGAGGTCTGAATTTTTGTAGGTTGAATGGAAAACCAGTGGTTGGTGAGCTATGAGGCTGCACTTTGAGTTACGAAGGCCAAAGGGAAGCCAAACTGCAGCCAAAAGAAAGTTAAAGCTTCCAAACCCCCAGGAGGGGGGATCCAAGCGATATTTCTTGAAGAGCCTTTAAATAGCATCGGACTTGAAACAAGTTCCGACTTGCAACCGCTCATCCCCGGAGCCAAACAGGGACACGTGGATATGCGTCTTTCATGAGACGTTCCCTTGAAACAATGACAAGCCTCTTTTGGTTTCCCCTCGCACCCTCAGAAAAGGCACCCACTCAGCCAGTGAAGGGAACTCCGCTTCACTCGCCCCCGTTTCGCCCCCCCCCTCTCGATAGTTCAAAACCGAGCAAAGTCAACAAAAACGCCGCAGGCTCTGGAAGTCCGAAGGCCCCAAAATTTTCAACAGGAACCTCTTCCCAACAGGCAACCTCTCCCAACAAGGCCATGGGATCACCTCCTCACGTTGAGTTTTGGTTTTTCCTGGTGGCTTTAACATGAGGTAAGCCCAAAGCGGCTGCACCCAGGCCAACTGAGATGAGGCGCCACTTGGCCGCCTTGCTGCTCTTCACAGCCCCAGCGGCTGACCAACCTGAACTTCCATCAGGAGGGTCGAACAAATACGCGCCCCCAACCACGTTCCCCATACCTCAAACACCTCCAAGTAGGAAGGCAACGAAGAAAACAAGACAGATGGCTTCTTTGTAGCCAGCCCCTGGAGCCAACAAGATGCTATTGGGGAATGCCCCGGGCAAAATCGACTATCTTGCGCAAGCTGCAGAGCCCAAGGGATTCTGCTTCTATGTGCGGGGTGTTGATGAATGACTTTGGCTCGTTCTTAGTAACTCACTTCCTGAGCGGAATGGCCAACACACGTTTGGACTTGTTTGTAATAAACATTTTGTGCCCCAAAATGTTCAAGTGCAGAAACTCGGGAGGTGGGGTAAATATGGCGACGGCCCTCTTCCAACCACATATTTCAATGTAGGCGCACTCCATTCCTGACACAGAAAATCCACCAGAAGCAAACCAACCTGATGCGAATGGGTCTATCTCCCCCAAAATGGATGTTCACCCAACAGGTACGGTCCCTTCAAAGCAGCCCGAACGGTTTAGCGGTGCCTAACAATGGCCGCTTGAGTCAAGAGGAGTTCCCCCAAAGGAAACGACTGACCTGCTCAGATTGGACAAAAAAGTCTGGACGAAGAAACCTGCCAACAAGTTCACACTTGCTAACCCAACAAGCAAGCACAAGGGGGTCCGCATGATGCAAATCTTCCCAATCCAGCGCATGGATTGCGCAAGCGGCAGAAGACTGAATGGTGGATAACAGGATGGCAACCTTGAGTTAACCTCGATCAAGGGGTCTGGACAAGTTAACAAATGTAACAAATCATCAACTCCCTTTGGCTTCCCTTTGGGGAAGCTAATGCATGTATGGATTCTTCGGCATCCAGATCTGAAGCACAGAAAGCAGTCTCCTTTTGACACTGCTCCCAATTTAGCCTCCCCTCAAACCCAAAACAAACACATATAGATAGAAAAACATCTACACACAGCTCTCCCCCCAGACCCAAAAACACAAACACACACACATATAAATACATATATATACACATACATACATATGTGTATATATATATATATATATATATGTAAATGAACATATACACAGCAATATCTCCTCCATCCGCTCCCGGCCGAGTTGCAAAAGTCTTCGTGGCGCACCCGAGCCTTGGCAAGGGACCAGGTCACGATGGCCAGGTGCCTGGCACGACGCCGGCTTCGCTTCGGTGGGGTCCCGTCCCATGGGACCAAACCGCTGATGCCATGAAAAATCCGGGAGCAGTGCCTGACCTGTACCTGGTGTCCCGAGGGAAACTTCCAGCTCAAGCTGTACCTGATCCAGGGAACCGAAAGGCTCCGAAAGGTTGAGCTGGTACTTCCAGATCCTTTGGGCAGTCAGGGAACCTTCTTTTGGTTGGTTTACGGGCGGTTCGGGGGGGTGGGGGGCAAAAGGACGCTTGCCATGTTCTAGAGGGTGCAACTGTTTGGGTTGATTTAGAGGGAATCTTGCCATTTGAGTGAATGGGTCATACAATTCGATCGCCTGGCAACCCTTGCATGAAGATAATTGGAGTTTTGGTGTTGCTTCCATGCTATGCGTAGTGGGCATGCACCAAAAGGATTTAGAGGTCCGATTCACGACTGCTGGCGCGGCTGTTGAACAGCATGCCATGAATCAATGGGTTGAAGCCCGAGCTCGGAAGCTCAATGAATGGTTGTTTCCATGGGTGAAATACTGGCGGCCGAAGTGGCCGCAAGAGCCCAAGCCCGCCCCTAAGGTTGAAAACAAGCATTTGATCGCTAACGCTGAAGGCAGCGGGGCATGAATGGAGGAAACAAAACAATAATGTTGCTTGTGGCAACTGTCGTGTGGCCCTCAAATATGAGGAGAAGCTTGAAGTCTTGCGGAACAGCCTGGGGCCCGTGCCGTAGTGCTGAAGCGTTGATTGGGCTTTTGCTCCTTCTGCAGTTCAAGCAAATCTAACCTCGCACCATCTGCCACTAAAATGACCTCCCAACAAAGTTCATCAAGCTGGGGAAGTCAGCTGATCCTGGCCCCCATAGAGGCCGCTTAAGCTTAGTGTCGGGTAAGGTAACAAACGGTTTTGACCAAGTCTAGGGTAGAGGGGGTAACCTCGGCTTCGCTCAGGCCACGCCTGGGGCTCATGGTATGCGCCTTGTGGCTGGCCACCTCTGCCAGCTGCGCCAGCAAAGGGTCCTCGCAACCGACCGGTCGGTTGCAAACCATCAGCTGCAAGGCTCTGGTCCCCTTGAACCACAAGGAGCTTTGCTCCCCCCCAAAAAGCTGCAAGGAGTTGGTCCAAACACCCACGTTGCCTCCAAGTCCGAGCCGTTGCGGAAAGGCCGCATGGTCGCGAAGGCCCAGCAAACATTGGCCAGGTCCTGGCGGTTTTTGAATCCAGGTCGAAAAGGTACCACTCAGGGAGCTTGTGTTTCATGGCTTCTCCAAACAATGACTGGCTCGTCCCCAATCATGATCGCTTTCTGGCACAAAAACGGGTGCCATCAAACGAATTTGGCAGCGAAATTCTTGGTGCCGATCCCCAGGTGAGGAACGACTCCAGGCGACTCCAGGTTTGTGGGGAAACCCGAACAGTTTCCCGAACAGTCAAAGGTGAAGAGTTCAACCCAACCTGGGCTGTCCTCAGATCCCCTGCTAAAAGTTGAATGGCCCATGGAAAGCCACACAACTTAGCCAACTAAGGCCAGAAAGCTAAGGAACCCCATAATTTGGTCGTGGTCCCTGCACAAGCCGAGACTCTTTCGCAGTTTTCCCAAAACAGGTTAAACGTCCGGCCCAGTGGAGGCCATGGATGTTGGACACCGGCCTGGCCGTCCATCTCCTCCGCCGCCGCCTTGGCCGCGTTCTCCAGCGCAGCCAGCGCCGAGTCGGAAGCCAGGCCGAGGCGGGCGACAGCCCAGCTGGCGACCGCGAGGTCTCCTTAGGCAGCGAGCCCCACTTGGTGCGAATGGCAGGGAATGACACTGAACAATTTATTTGTGGGTTGCTTTGCGGGAATCCCCTTCCGGTTCATTCCCGAAACCCGGACGAGGTCATTCCCTACCGATCGCAACAGCAAGTCAATGCCCAGAGATCCGTTTTGGTGTCGCGTTCATGGCGGCTTCCAGTTTCCAGGTGTTCAGTGACCTTTGTGGCTTTTGGAGTGGACCATTTGTAGTGAACATTTACATTTGTCTTAGACCCAGGGTGAGTTCGGGCCAAAGGAGAGAAAGTTCATTAAAACCCAACATGCCATTTGCTAACATGATGAAAACATCTGCACAAAGTCTGAAGCTTGCCAGCTAAGCGGGTCACCAGTCTCTCTCTCTCTCTCTCTCTCTCTCTCTCTCTCTCTCTCTCTCTCTCTCTCTCTCTCTCTCTCTCTCTCTCTCTCTCTCTCTCTCTCTCTCTCTCTCTCTTGGAACCGAACAAAGAAGTCGATTCAACAATGAAACTGCAATTACCCATCCTCTTTGGGTTCCCCCCTTGGCAAACTCAAGGCTCTGTGGTATTTAGCACCCAGCCCGGTCCCCAAAACCACGGTGGAAACGGCTCAAACACTCCTGGTCTCAACAAACTCTTGTGGCCGCCCCCAAAACAGGAACTGAAGCCAAGTGTGACTGGGTGTTAGATGGCAGAATGCCAATCACCATTCGCTTTCCCTCGCGGGAAGCTTAACGTCAAGGGCCATTTCCAAGAGTAAAAGTCCCCCAACAAAAATCATGGGAACCCTGCCAGGCTTTTGGCACCCACAAGCAAACACACACACACACAATTACAGCACACATTAGACACAAGGAAGCACCCAGTAAGAACTCCAAGAAGCAGTTTCGGCCACCCTCAAAGCACAACCACCAAAAACGACAGCAACAGAGTAAACACAAGCAAACACCCCAACAGCATTGTGCCCCCCTCCCCAAAAAACAACAACAAATGAACAGCACAACTTGACCCTTAGCTTGGGGGTCCACATTTGGACGGGCCATATCCAAGCGGAGCGTCGGGGAGAGGCGGCGCCTGCCACTACCGCGAGCACCAGGTCCGACACCTCGGCGGTGTTGCCCCCAGCGATCCGGGGCCCTGGCCAAGCCCAGGGCGGCTGATGTAGCTGGTTGGCGATATGGATTGGCGCTTTGGTGTTGCCGGTGGAAGGCCCCCACAAGAAAAGAAGCTCTTGCCGGATGGTCGGGAAATCCTCATTCTCCAAAGGTTGAACGGTCAAACGTTGTGCCAAAGCGGAGTTTACACATGTTGAACAAAGCGATTGTTTGGTGTCACTTTGACGCGAACAAGGTTATAGGTGATAAAACTTTGTTTTGGTTAAACTTTGGTCACAACCAGTTGGCGCCGGCACCGGTCCCATGTTGGTCTGGCAGCAGGCCCATCCATTCTGCTGAGGCTTACATCCTAGATTCAGATCACTGCGCAGGTTTCCACCCCCAGGCTGCAACAACTCACACCTGTCTCTGGGGCTCCAGCCACCACACGAGGCACAAATCACAAACAAAACTCGACATTCAAATGTTGAATGCCATCGGCTTTCACCTCACCACACAACATACGCAAACAACCTCAAGCAGCGCTTAAGCCATTTCAAAAAGGAGCTTAGCATTGACCTTTTGCTGCCTCCACGAAAAGTCACGACTGTTTTTCTTGCTTTGCTTGACCTTCTTGCGGCCTAGCGGGTAGCCGGGCAACCGGCCATTTTTTCCATATTTTTCATTGCGCCTTTGGCTGACGTCTGCGCCAGCAGGTGCAAAGCGGTGGAGGCGTTCACCGCGCCGAGCGCGTGGCGCTGGGTCGCGGCCAAGATCCGGCGCCGGGCGTCCGGGTGGAATTTCGCGTCGGACGCGGAAGGATCGGGGCCGAAGGCGGCGGAGAGCAGCTCTTTCCTCCGGGGGGTCGGCGTCTGTTTTGGGGTTTGCATCGGAGCCCGCAACATGGGCGAGTTGTCTTTGAGGTGTCCTTGGGGTACCCTCAAAACTGGAGACACTCTTATTGGGAAAGACTGAATTACGGGTGGGGGGAAGACCTGGCTTCCGAGGCTCTGGATCTGCAGCTCTGCCTTGGGCACGCCCTGCTGCAGCAGCCGGTACACCGCCCCAGCCTCGCAGGCCAAGCCTCGAGCCAAAAGCTGGGCGCAGAGTGGCGTGGACGAATCGGACATCGCCCATCCCTTTTCGTGTTTTGGGAAAGTAACAAGCAGAAGCGAAGAGATTTGGCACCACCCCTGAGTTGCAACGCGTGACGTGAACGGCAGAAATCCGTTCTCTTTGGGTAACTCTAGTCTTAGCGGGGAAACCAACAAAAAAGAAGAAAAGAGTGCCACTGAACTGGGTTTTAGAAAAGGGGTCACAGCGAAATTGCAAATACGAATCAACTATTCATACCCTAGTGCTTTTCGTGAACGACGCAAAGCAGGGAACCTCTGGACCTGCCTTTTTAGGTTCCTTGTAAAAAAAACAGCGCGGCATGTGTTTGGTCCCTTTTCACCTATTTACTCTAGCGGAACACTACCCTTCGGCGCCAAACGGGTCGCAGAAACAAAAGGAAACGGGACGCTCAAATCGGCGAGGAGCTCAGGTGCTTCGAGATCCTGCCCTGCATGGCGAGCCGCTTTCAGCGAGTGGCGGTTTGGCCGAATCGTGCCCGCAGAAAGGGCCAGGGGGAAAGAAGTGCGCTGATTTTCTCAATATGTGAACATGTACCGAAGAAGAGGGGCAACATGCTCGAGAACTGTGGCTTCACAAAAGGCTATTAAGAGGAAAACCCAGGATGCTTTGACCTCCCCCACAAAGCAAGTCAACGTCTAAGCACTATTGAAGGTGAATGTGACGAAGTGTTGAAGTCGAACCCCCTCAGCAACACATGTGACAAGAAACGAATGGCGCTTCCCGTGCAAGCAAGTCCAGATGCTTTTTGTTTGTCACTGACATGGTCAAAGCCAAAAGGGACAAAGTCGATGAACGCAGGGAGTGAGCGTAACAACCCTTGAAGGTCTGGAGACTGTGTCAATGGTTTCTTCCATTCGCTGGGCTCGGGCCAAGCGCGGTGCGCTGCTTCACCCCCATTGCTTCTCACTAGCCCAAACTAAACCTGCAAGTGGGGTCATATCCCAGGCATCTTTGCAAAGACCAAGCAGATCCATCTGTGAGCTTGCTGCTTTTGACCACTGAGATCTGACCAACGCGTCGAGTCCAGAAGCCAGGCCCATTCGCTCTGAGCAAGTGAGGCTTAGGCAGTGGGATCTCAGACCGTGTTGAAAGGGACGCCCCCATGGACTTCGCTTTCTTCTTCTTCTTCTTTTCCTTCTCCTTAACGCCAAGACAACCCTCAAAGAAGAACCCACTTCCCTTCGGGTCACATCGGCTTATGGTTTGACCCAAGGGGCGACTCTCTTCGCCACCGATGCCGAGATTCACGGTCAATTGTTTTGGGGCACCGGTCGGTTCGGGTGAGCATTCGCCCAACAGGGTGCACCAACTATGTACACACACACACATAGATATAGCACATATGCATGTAAATCTATATGTAGACAATTATATTTACACACATATACATATATATATATATATATATGTGGTTGTGTATACGTACACATTTTTTGAGTACAGCCATGTATCTATATGACATAGAGATGTATATACATATGTGCGCAAACATGTTCACATACCTAGTCAACATTTTACAGGTGCATTGGGGTGTGATACCCAGCTGGAACCCCCCCCCCCCGGAGCTACTTTCTCACGGTATGTATGCATGTATGCAAATATGCATATGTTTTTAAGCCGGGTGTCTACTGGAGCATCAGGACAAATTGAAAAACACGACCCATCACGGTTCCCGAGGAAATCAGCAATTCTGTGAGCAATGTTGATTTTGCCGTTGGACATTGCAGCATAACATGCAATCCGCTGCAAGCTATACGGGAGGTGACTGTACATGGCAGCCCTGTGCTAGCTACCAAAATGACATATTGAACACGCCTTGACTGTACCGGCGGCTACATAGTGCAAGACACCTTTCATGCGCCTGACAGCTTCAAACGTGGGCGGCATGCCAAGCCAAGCAGCACACAACTCTTTAAAAATTGCATCAGCTCACGCATGTGGTGGCATGCAATGGGAGTTGCGCATATTATAAAGTGTGAGAGATGGCCTGAGCAAGTAGCATCCATTTCAGCTTCGAGCTTCGCACTCATAACTCCCCACTGAGCTTGGGCTGGCTGCAGGGTTTGCTAGCAGGCTCAACTTGAAATCGGCCTTGCTGAGGACCAGAAGGCTTACTGCCACCAGAAGTAGCCACAGGGAGTGCAGGCAAATGGCTCGTGCAACTGGCGAGCGGGTTTCGCCAAAGAGCAAGGTCAGGAATACAACAGCCGCAGCTGCTACAGCCGCAGCAGCTGTTCCAGCTGTCCCTGGCAGGCTGTCCATGCGAAAATGAAAGTCGGCCTTAAGCATGGCGCTCTCATCGTCATATTCCTCCTGCTGCAGAACTCTCTGGCCCTCCTCAGGGGTCACCAAAACCTGGTCCAGTGGTCTAATATGTAAAGAGTTCAAAAGGGCAGATATCTGCACGCGGTTGGTTGGGACTGTCCCTTGCTAACTAACTAAGCTTCACTTACCCAAAATCGCTTTGCCCCCAATCGTTTTGACTGCGACTCCTCAGATGTTTGATCGGCGAGAGCTGCGCCCTCTCTCTTGGTGTCACTGATCAGTCGCTGATAAGCGCTGTCCTCTGGAGCCGCCGTGCTTGCTTGGCTTTCGACTCGGTTCCAAGCAGACTTGCCCAGGGGAGCGTCATCCTGGCTGGCCCCCTGTGTGCCAGCCATCCCGGGGAACCAGGCAATGGGATTCTGGTTCAGGATGTCTTCCTGCGCAAAGTGCATCGTTTTCTGGCAGGAAAGCGGTTTGGCACGGTCAGAGAAGTGCTGTTTTGAGCCAGCTTGAGCCAACTGCCGCTTGAGCTATTCGACACCCGCCAAAGCGTCGGCTTCCAAGTTCTATAAATCGAACTCGCACCCTCAGTCCGAAACATTTTTGTCCGGCTTCTTTGCCACGCTCATTGACTGTTTCCTTTTGACCTCACCCCAGCGCCCAAGAGTCTATGCAACAAGCCACCACAACGAAAGAAGCTATTAGTTGCCAAACTTGGCTTGCCTTAACCTTCAGCCAACAAGTTCGGGGGAAGCCCAGCATTCAAGCAGCCCTTGAGTTGCTCAGTTTGCCACCAAGAAATATTTGAGTTTCTTTGCCCCGCTCAAAAAACCGGACAAGCTAGCTTGGGCTTTTTTTCGGTTTCTCTTGAAACTGAAAAGGACATAGTCGGGCGTCTTTTTCCCTGTTGAGCAACATGGGGTCCTTTTCAAGCCTTTTCAAAGTTTTGGAGCTCAACGGCTTCAACAGATCGCCATGGCCTCCCAAATAGCCAGAGTGCTCTGTTTTGGATAGGGTTGCTAGGCAGTTGCCGCAATTGCCAACCGCAACTCTGGGTCAAATAATTGAAGTTGATGGGGGAACCACAGCTCCTTCATCCTGGCGAAACTCCCTGACACGCCGGACAGGCTCCACATATGCAAGCAATCCGGCAAGAAAAACACGACAACACAACACCTGGAACACTTGCTGGCTTTTTGCTGAGTTTCCTTGGGGTTTTGGGAATAAACCGGAAGGGGATTTCCTCAATTGCAGCTACAAGGGGTGGTTCTCGCGCTTGAAAGCGCGGGCCGCTCGCTTTTCAGCCGCGGCTCCGAAAGGCGGGCGTCCGCTGGCACTGCTTCCAAAGCCATAAGCTGGCCTTCCTGCGGAGTTGATGTTCAGAGCAAGACGCTGGCGCTTTTGTTTGGTTCAAACCTGCTGGCTTCCCTTCGCCAAACAGAGTGACACCCAGTGACACTGGCAGACACGGAATTCGAGCTTCTTTTTAGATCTAATTTCAAGATCGGGAACGCACCCAATCCTCCAGCGCTAGGAACTTGAAAGGCCCCTTGCTTTGGTCAAGACAACTCGCCTCCTGAAAGAAAAGGAACCCGAACAGGTGGACCAAAGAACAACAGGACCTGGCACTTGTCCGGCGCTTCCAAGTGGTTCGACCGACCCGCCTGCACAAATCGCCCATTGGCTCGCCTGCCGGAGGCTGCAAGAATCTATGGATTGTCCTTGTGATTTCCTTGGAGCCAATGTAAACAGGGTGCCCTCAAAAGCACACCCAGCTGCTTTCCACATGGAAAAGCGGAAATCCAAAATCGTTGACCTTCCCCTCCCTCAGTTCGAGTTTCTGCTAAACGGTTGTCTTCAATTTGGGCGACTGTGAGAGCTTAGGTGCCATAGCCCGTCAAGATCCATATGCAAGCCCAGTTTCAAACAATAAGTGGCTCTTTATTCGTTTCAGCCACTAAACCAAGACAAAGAAAGGCTTGAACTATAAAATTCGGGCTTTGAACAATACAGGGGAAGCCGGCCCAATCCAGCTCACTCAGACATTTGGCCCACAAACTCCCTTGATTTTCTCGGTTTGGGGCTGGGATGAGACGCATTCCAAGAGCGTTCCGGAGCTTGGGGTGGTTTAGAGTGAAGTTTGGCAGCTATGGGGAAAACAGCACCCCATTCCAAAACGCCCTGTGTTTGAGGGTAAGGTTTGTGTCATACCAACAAAACAGTCGGTATTTTAAGTAGGGGGTTGGATTTTAGTCAGGAACCCCCGGAGTTTCAAGGCAGGTTGACCTGGTCGATGTCAAGAGTCATGGTGACACAACGCAAAATAATTCCCACGTCAACAGCAAAACATCATCGCACACTTTTAGATTTTGAACCGAAACCAAAAGCCAATCCTGGCAAAGTTTCGAGCTTGGATTGAAAAGGTGGCAAAGAGTCAGGGGGGCTCTTGGCTGCACCTAGCCTGGGGCTTCAGCCTGGCGGGTTCCGCATCATTTCCCCAGACTCACTCCTTTCTGTTGGAAGAGGTGTTGAGCACGAACTCCATTTGCAAAGCCAGGACGCACGAAGCGAGACTCCACCAAACAGACAAAAAGGACTTGGAATGCAAAACACTCCTGGCGGTCACTTCAAAAGGCGCAAGATCAGTGAGGCCACGTGCCAAAAGAAACCAAGAGCCCCTTGCGAATTGGCGCCACTTGACTCTCTTGAATGACCACTGGGAAGTTGAGTTTCCATATCGATCCCACCCCAGAGGCCCAGTGAAGCGTCAAACCGAGACAATAGATCTAAGTGCTTCGTGGACACCGAGTCAAGCTGGGATTATGAAAGGAAGCTCCATGAATGAACAGTTGAACTGGAACAATTCTGTGTGCCAATTTTTTTACCAATTAATCTTGAAACTCGTCACTTTTTTCCCCCGGGCCTGGCGGCAGCTGGGCGCAGTAGACCCCGAAGGCTGCCCCTGCAATGGGGGCCTTCCAACTGGTCAGCGACACCCCAGACACCTGCCGCGCGGGTCTGGAGACTCTGTCGGTATCTGAAAACATTCAGCAGCGCCAAGTTTGCTAACACTGGCAACCCCTTTTGGTGGGCTTGAAAGGGAAAAAGAGAAGGAGATTTCGAGGTTCTCCCTTTGAAGCACCAAGAACTTGGCAGGATCTAACGAAC